CCCCTTCCTGTTACGCTTATGCCTATCATAGATCCCCTTCCTACAATGTGTATGCCTATTGTACTGCCCCTTCCTGTGACGTGTGGTTACCTGTAATCATGTCTCCTTAAAGATATATATCGCTTGGTTAGCAATAAAGAAAAGGCTCTCCTGGATTCCTGGGGCCCTCTCTGGCTCTCAGGCCAGGGGAGGCTCCCCAGTTCTCGGTCCCTGAGGCTGCTCCTGCTCTCATGGCTGGGTTCCCCCCACAAGGACTATCAAGTGGGGCTGAGGTGAGCAATGCTACCACGTAATGTTCTGACTGCATTACTGTAATATCTCTCATGCTCTTGATGACTTTAGTAATATGTATATATATATTAGTTACTCGATATTCCACTAAGGAGTGCTGGTGGCTTATAGGGTCACACATTGGGCTGCTAACCACAAGGTCAGCAGGTCAAAACCACTAGCCATCCCAAAGGAGAAAGACAAGGGTTTCTATCACTGTAAAGAGTTACAATCTGGAAAAGCCACAGGGGCAGTTGTACCCTGTCCTACAGGGACCAGTGAGTGAACACGCAGCTACTGAATTCTCCTGGGCTATACATTAAGATGCTATCCCCACCCCCCCAATAATATGGAAATGCATACCAAGAATAGCAAATCCCTTGGAGAAGACCAGTGTTAAAAATATGAGAGATTTAAAAAAATGCTTATTAATTCATATGCACTGTAAACAATTAAGCTTTTAAATTTTCTCCCCAATTATTTTCAATTTTATTATACTATAAACATTAGATTCCTTATAAGTAAATGCTGAGCTTAAAACTCAGGGTCTTGGAAAAGCAAAATAAAAGGAATGGGACAATGCAATGCATTTAGTCTGTAACATATGTTGATACATGAAAAATTCAATACTAACATTAAATGCAAATACAAGTGAAAAATGCGACCATTGAATATAGCTACGGAAACCAAATCATGTCGTCCTAATTTAATAATGTGCTGTATGTGTCATCCCCACTTATCCTCAAAACAAATGTGCAAGGTGGGTAGGCTATTCTTAGGTTATCAATGAGGAAACAGGCTTATAAAATACATGACTTATTTCAAATAAATATGTTTCAAAGCTGGGCTGATTAAAAACTAATGTACTTGAAGTGTCACAACTGCCTCAATGTAGGGCCACAAAAATTATAAATGGCTTAATACTAATTAAATAGGTATATATTAGGTTTGTACTTTTTCTCTTTGATTTGTCATCTAAAACATTGTTGCTGGTACTTTCTAAACTCTTTGGAATATAATCTTTCTTCTGAGGAGTAGCTAAAGGGACACTTGTGGATAAGATAGGTTTATTAAAATGAATTAGATAGATTTCGTAAATATTGAGGAAACAATTGAAATAAAAATCCATAGTACTCAGCCATAAAGAGAAATGAAGTCCTACTACATAAACATTGAGATGCTGAATAAAGAAAGGAATCAAAGTGGAGCAAATGCTGTGAGATTCCACTTACACGAAATTGGTCAATATAGAGATACCAAAGCTTAGTCATGGTCACATGGGTAGGGGTGGCGACGGGAGGGTGTGAGTCTCACTGTTTACGGAGCATGGGCTTTCTGTAAATGGTGCGGAATAATTTGGACAAGGTTAGTGGCAATGATTACAAGTCATCAATATCCCTGAATTGTACATGGAAAAGTTTTGTTATATTTTAAAGTATCATAAAAAAGAATGGTCTAGCAAATTGGAGGTGGCGGCCTTAGTAGTGGTGCTGCTGGCATCATGGGAAGGCAGGAGGCAGCTGCTCTCAGAGGGCGAGCAGCCATATTCTCTCTGCACGGCTTAGTCTGCCGATTGCTGTACAAACACATCTTCTAAAATGAAACACACCCTCTTGATGCCTATTGGAATATTGTTTAGAAACATATCAAATATTCAGTGATTCAATTGGAACGCCTTGTCAACAATGACCTATTAGGAATCATAATTAGCCGAACTGAATGTAGGGATGGTTCATAAATAAAATTTTTTTAAGTGATAGGGATGCATACAGTACATTTTGCATTCTACTTCAGTGCTCAAAAGAAAAACCTGTGAATAATTGATGGTGCTATTGTATAAGTGCCCACTAGCCATACCAGAGAAAAGTCAAATGGACAAGTAGAGCTTTCTCCTAAAGGGTGTAGGACAAGTTGGTAGTATTTGGATTCTCATTAAAGGAAATTCTATGGACTTATCAATTCTGACAATATGAAATGTTCGGAGACCACTAGACTCTGAAAATTATATGATGCGTGGAAAGAGAGCAGGGTCAAAAAAGGGAAGTGGCCATACCCTAAAATCTCTGTGAGTCTTTTGGTTCAGGATGGAGTTTCAGAATCCTGGGGTCAGACTTTACCACTTACCTGAATGAATTTAGGCAGGTACCTAAAATGAATATATAGAGCTGTAAGAGCCCCCAGTAAAATGAATTAAAAAATGAATTATATATACCCTGTACATAGAATTACATCACCCTACCTATAATTTCCTGACATCAATCTTGCTATCGCCACTGACATAAAATAGAAAACTTTTAATTCAATGTAAATTTTAGCAGGTAGGCCTGTCAAGAATTTTAGGGAAAGTAAACAATGGAATTGAGAAATGATTTTATTGAGGCATCATTACAAAAAATAGATTTGTAACTGAGGTAATCCCTCTGATCCCAATATGACTGCTACTGAGTCAATCAGCTTACATATTTCTCAGTAAGATTTTTCTAAGTTCACAGTGTACTTTCTTATGCTATAAACTTGTGTAAGTTTATATCTCTTATTTTTTACTTCAATCAATCTTGAAGTTATTTAAATTTATGCTTACTTCAGGTTTAAGCAACAAACACAATTTGGATTACACATAATCACACCTGGCATAAAGCATAATTGCTACAGTGCTTATTATAAGAATATCTTATATAAGAATAATAACTTTCGTTGGGAAACATATACCAGAGAGCTTCAAACAGTTCTTGCAAAAATGTCATGAAAAAAATAATCAAATTTTTCCAAAACCTGTTTTGAAGCTCCCTTGTATTTCCAAAAAGTTTCTTTTAAATGATCAGGGTTAGCCTTCTAGGTCAGGATTATGAATAGTTAATTGTTTGGAGTCAAAAATAAATAGATTGATTTAAACAGCCAAGAGGCAATTCAATCTTCTATGATCCTATTATATTTCGTACTATTGAAATACTCAGAGATTGAATATGAGGAGTCATATTTTATTAGGATAATAATTATCCTTTTATAATTAAAAAGCAATAAAGTACAAAATTCATCCAGATGGCAGAGAATGTAGCAGCTGGATCACGGAGAAGAACACTGTCATTTCATTTTTAAGGAATCAGTAACTATTTTCCTGGTGAAGATATTGTCTTACATTGATTTTATGCCAAACATATTTTAAAAATGCTTTTCTATGGAGAGGATAAGAAGGAGCTTAGATGCTTGTTCTTCCTCTGGTGTTTCAACATCTGCCAAAGGTACTGCTAACCCCCTTTTCCCAGCTTCCCAACTTCAGAATTTTTCTGGGCTGCACATCAGCCTGCAATCAGTTCCTCATTTTTCACATTGATGCTGTCTATAGATTACTTTTTACTAATTACAACATTCACAAAGTCAAGGATCTCAGCAAATTACTTATTTCAAACCACCATTTAAAAGAAAGGACTTTGAAACACAGAGAGGTGAAAATTTCACCCAAGAAATGCACTGATTCAACTGGATAAGAATTCAGATTTTTTTTTTCCTTGTAAGATCTATTCTTTCTACCATCTCAACAGTGGATTACTCCAAAATCACGATAAGCAGGGGATTATTTGTACTTATTTACTAATTGGTACTGATGAATAGGTGTTACAGATTAATGAAAACACCACAAATCACCCAGTTTACCATGCTTGTTGGGTAATCCCACATTGCACATTATTCAGACCTGTCTCTTTTTATTTGACTCCTTCTCCCTCGATCTGGTCTCATTCCTCTTATCGATGTTCATGCACCGATATCCTAACTGATAGCCTTCACTTCGCTGTCTGGAAGCATCCTGCGCAGTGCTGCTAGATCCGTCCTTCCGAGTCACACTTCTCATCACAGGCAAAGGTCTCTGATTTTCAAACATTCAAAAAAGCGTCTGTCAATTTTATGCTGAGTCATCACGACCTCATGTGTACAGAGTAGAACTGTGCTCGTGAAGCTTTGAAGGCCGTGACCTCTGAGCTGTAGTTCACCAGGTCTGTCTTCAAAGGTAGACCTGCGGTGGCTCAAACTGCCTAGCATTCAACCACTTGTAGTCTAGCATTCAACCGTTTGTTACACGCAAGGACTTCAAAGATATGCCAGTCTTTAACACATCTTGTCAAAATTACTTAGGTTGGCATTCGTGGTCTTCTGGGAGGTACAAATCAAATATCTGCACATTTTTGCATTCCATCAACCAGTTAGTCATCCAACAGATGTTTATCGAGGCCCTTTGGCATATCAGATATTGTTCCAGGTCATTGGAGAATAAATCAGACACAGTCAGGGCTTATTCTTCCAGAAATCTATTGTATAATAGTTCTTTCTTCAATTAACTATGCAAAGAAAATGTTTTACAGGGGGTATGTTTTGGCATTTTTAGTCAGAAAAGGTTAAAATGTCTTTTTATAGAAAACTACACAATAAGGACTTGATCTGTACTGCCATTGACATAAACTAAAGCCTTATGGATGTAATGGGTTATGAGTTGGGCTGCTTACTGCAAGGCCAGCAGTTTGAAATCACCTCAAAAGAAGAAGCAGGAGGCTTTGTAATCCTGTAAAGCAACAGTTCACAACCTGTGGGTCGTGACCTCTTTGGGGGGGTCAAACAACCCTTTCACAGGGGTCGCCCAATTCATAACAGTAGAAAAGTTACAGTTTGAAGTAGTAATGAAAATAACTTTATGGTTGGGGGGGTCACCACAACATGAGGAACAGTATTGAAAGGTCACGGTACTAGGAAGGTTGAGAACCACTGCTCTAAAGAAATTCTCTGGGAAACCCACAGGGGGCAGCTTCACCCAGTGCTATCCAGGCCTTAGGAGTCAGCTCCCCAAAGGGATGGCAGTGAGAGAATTAAGTTCCGATGAAGTGCTAGTTACCCTTGCATTATTTGACTACCCACAATCAACTAAATAGCATGTACATGTTACCGTCTTGCTAAACTCTGCTACCAAATACCATTTAAATAAATAGAGAGATTAAAGAGCGTTGTCCGAGAATAACTTACCAGGATATATAATGTTGTCTATGTTCCTTTGAGCTCGACCAACCAGGTAAGTAGTGACATTCACTGTTGGCTTCTTAAATGTGTTCGGTTTCTTCAGCAACGATTTCACTTGCTTCTGAGACTTAAGTATATTTGCAAGACTGCCAGACAATGATTGGTCTATATACCAAGTTAAATTAGATAGAGCAGCTCGAGTTTTTATTTCAATGATCGATTCTACAAACTCTGTCAGACCTTTCTGAAGCAGCTGCATATCTGGCAGGAAAGCCTTTATCCTCTTAGGTAGCGTTGCATTCACTTCTGAGATACTTGTGGAAGCATTATGACACTTCATTACAGTTTCGTGGAGGGTCTTGTTAAGCAAAGAGAAGTTTATTGACAGATGGATGGATTTTGCTTCTAGAGCCTTAAATCTGGAATTTAATACCTGCAGTTGAAGAGCTTGATCTCTCCCATTCGTATCCACCTGGCCGTTTTGGAGTGTAATATAATAAGGTATGAGGGCCTGGGTCACTTTGGACTCAATGCCTTGAAACCGAGTTTCATAATTTCTGGAAGTATTTGTGATGTAAAGTATTTTTTCTTCCAAAAGACTCATATGTTCCTGATATTTCATCATTTTGGAAGTAGTTTCATTTAGCATTTGATAAATCTTTTGGACGCTGGCATGACTTAATTTCTCATCTTCAGGTATATCTGCAAGGGCCTTGGCAACTTGCAAAACAAAGTTATATCTTTGATTGTCATTCACTAACAGAGCAATAGACTTATTCAAACGTTGAAGTTGAGGAATGAAGGACAAAATAGTGTCCATCTTTTGGGAACACTCATGATGAACTTGGGGATTATACTTTATTGTACTTAAAGTATTTTTTAACACATAGTTGTCTTGAATAAAATCAATGGCATTATTTATAATGGTCATTGTCTTATTTAAGCCATCTTCTGCTGCTAAGGTGTAGTCATTGAGGCGCGTTTCTAAAGCATCACCACGATGCTGGGTTTCACTTCTAAGTGAGCTGTGTTTTTTGGTAAGTTCTCTGATAAGAAATTTTAGGTTGTCGACTGCACTAGCCAGATAGTCCACTTTTTCCCTGGTTGCTACTGCTTCTTTTGATTGTTCATATTTCACGGTCTGTTTTAACGATGCTCCCTGCTCTAGCAATGGTTGGAGAATCTCCATATCATACGTCAAATCATTTAGTTGCTCGCTCATTTTATTCATCCTGGTATCCATTGGAAAGAGAACGTCAGCCAATGTTTGGTTCAAAACATGCACATTTTCTGCAGTGCCCTTCATTTGCAACATGAAATCTTTCCTGCACTTTGAAAATAAGTCTTCACACTTGCCTCTGACAGATGCTTTCTCCTTCTCCAACGAGATGGTGAGATTGTGTATTTTATTGTTTTGAATGTTTAAATCATCAAACATTCGCAACATCATCAAACCCTGTTTCTTGATGTTCTCCTGCAGAGTGGACATGTGCTCAGTGCCATCATTGCTATCTGGAACATTCTTCTGAACTGAGACTGGTTTCTCTGATAAAAGCTGCTTGTGTACCTCTTTCATTTTTGAAAAAGTCTGATTGAGCGTTTCATAGTACAGGAGGGTTCTTGAGTGTTCTTGTTCCAGGGCGCCTTCCAACTGCGCCTGCTTGGTTTCTAGTTCTTTAATGGGCTTCTCACACGTGGAAGCCATTGCTTGCCTTACATTCACAATGTTATTCTTTAGATTCAGGAGATCAGTCAAAGTGGGTATATTTTCTTGGATTAAAACAGACTTTTGCTGGATGGCTATGGAAACCACGGATTCGTTAACTTGTCGAATCAATTGCCTGGTGTCTTCCAGGCCCTCTGATAGGCTTGATACAGTCTTGAAAACCTGGGCTACAGTCTCTTGCATTTCATTTTGAAAACTTTTAAACTGTTCTTTTACTAGTCCCTTGACCAGCTCATTAATGCTTTTGGATTTTAGACCTAGGGAAACAAATAACAAACAACAGTAAATGATTCATTATTTTAATTATATAAAACTTTAGATAATTATATATATACTTTATATTTTATACATTTATTTAATTTCTCTGTCCCTGTCTCTCCCATATATATGAGAGAGAATTTAGCTCTAAAGGAATAACAATTTGGAGCCAATTTCTAAGAACATACAATAATGACAATACATCACAACTTTACACTTACTTATGAAGTTTAAAAAATACTATAGCAAATAAGTAAGTTAACACTCACTGAACTGATAAGTCTGCGAGGAGAAATCAATTGTAATGTAATATACTGGAGCTATGAAAGTAAAGTACTTTTTGTAGAAAAGACATGAAGAAACAGCTACTGATTTCACTAATAGACGGAAGCATAATCATTCTAAGCTTAGTCTTAATATGGTATGAAAATTAATGGTTTGGCCCTTTCTGCTTTAGTAAATGATACCTGATACCTCAGGATCCTGTTGTTATGTTTCTGATAATTAGGTTTCAAAGATGGGAGTTTTCATCTTTAAAAATTAAAAAAATATTGACTGCAGAGAAGAAAAAAGTCATCAAAGTCCGGAATCATATACACACAAGATTATCAATGGCTTATGAGCACCACAAACTAATAATACTGAAAGATTTGAGGATCTCACAACTAAGTTCCCCTCAGTGACAACAGGAGTTCAAATTTTTCTTTGATCTCAATTTTGATTTGAGGATGCGTTAATTCCTAACAAAAAGCAAAAAAGCAAGAGGCCAAAAGAAGAGCGCATACTTGTAACAAAGATATTAGAACGTACGGACTAATCCCAGCCAGGAGCTTAAGTTCAAAAAGTAATACGTAAACAAAACAAACCCAGCCAGAAGTTAGATTAAGTAATAAAAAATGCCAGTCTCGAGGTATGCTCTTCCAAAAAGTATCCATACAGGATTAAGGAGGATTTGCGGTGCAGTGAGTTAAGCTTCGAGTCAATCAGCTGCTCCATGGATTGAAAAGGCTGTCAGCTCCTTGAAGGATTTCCAGTCTTGTTTCCAAGACTCGTGCTTGGAAGGAGTTCCACTCTGTCTTATGGAGGCACTCCAAGTTGGAATGGGCACAGCTTGGCGGTTGGGATGTGAAGACAAAAACAGCAGCAGCCCCAAAGAGCTGGTAGGATATGTTGGGGCAATAGGGTTACGGCGATGAGGGAGGGACAACTCAGAGAAGGAGGTGAGCATGCAGTGTGAAGAAAGCAATCAGTGTCACCGAAGTGTACCCGTAGAAGCTGTTATTGATGGACCTTTTGCTAGGTACACTATCAACAACAACAAAATAAAACTTTAAAATTATCTGTCTTATTTACAACTATTAACACTAGCAACACTAGTGTATTCAAATTGTTTTAAAATAGTACATCTAAAACCACAAACAGTTAAAAAAATGTTCTTTATTCAAGTTATAGTTACAGTATTAAGTTAGTTAGTTTATTGTGCTAACTATAAACACATGTGGGGTTCATTGAAGGGCAGAGGGACACATGGCTCAGTGAGCCTTGCCTTTTGAGTTCTCAGGTCTCTTGCTTTGTGATGGTCGGACCAGGGTGCAGCTGCCTTAGCCAGTTCCCTGCTTCAGCTGGCAAGGCTTACTTCCTTCAAGAGATCCCTGAGGAGAAGCCGCAAGGGCCTATGGGCCTACCCTGATGCAGCCCTGGGTGCTGGAGCAGCCATGTGGAGACCCCTGCCAGCGATGAGATGCTTACACATTCACTGACTCGGCTTTCCTCCTGCAATCAGCATCATTGCATGTTTTTTGAGGTGGAGGAGGACTTTGTGGATTGGTGTTGGAAATATGGGTTAATGTTGGACTTGTAGGCTTGGGCAGCACTGGGTTGGGATGTTTTCTTGATGCACACTTAACCTTTATATAAAACTCTCTTATACATGAGTTTCTGTGGATTTGTTTCTCTAAAGTACCCAGACTAACACAAGTATGTTCTGTAAACCATACACAAATGGACTATATGCCCATTAAAATTAATATAGCCTATGATGACAGTGTGAAAACCAACAATATAATATAAAACATTCTAAACAGAAAGATATCCCCAATATGGTGTTGCCCAGTGAGCTCTGGCTGCCATGTAGGCTGCTCCGGGGAGATCATGATTGTACAGTGATGGACATAGGTTCTAGCAATTGTTATTTTGTCAATGCATTTTAAATGTATTCAACATGTAAGAAATACCATATTGTGGAAAAGCAATTATACAAAATAGAATGAAGTACTGCTTGAACATCTTTATACATCAGACATATAAGAAAAGCAGTTGAGAAGCTTAATTCTCTCAGGTTTAAATAACCAAATTTTAATCACCAAATTACATGAAGGTGATTAGTCATGTCATAATCAATTATATAATGTTGTCATTTGACTTCTCTTTCATGTTGTAAGTTTAGGAAAGAAAATTCACCCTCTCATGTTTTCCATGGTAAATAGCGCCTATAGGGGCATGACACATATGTATAACATGGTCCTCTGTCTCACTGGCTAAAGAGCTCCCATTACTATGTGACTTTAAATAAGCAAAGATTATTGTTAAGGTGTGAATATGCATGTACTGTATGAGAGGAAATGGGAAAATAAGAGGGTAAGGCACTGCTGACCTCTGGCCCGCAAAGGAGAAGGAGAGTCGCACTCCACACTACTGAAGGCCCACGGCTATAAGGCAAAGGTCAAATATGCCTTTATCCTCCCTCCTTCCTTACCCTATTCTGACACCAACTCTCTCCCATGGCACTCTAATTTTCTTCTGGGTTTGATAATTCATGGCATTGGCCATGCATAACTCACATATAATACGCAGAATTGCGGGATTTATTAGGGCAATTAACAGGCTATAAAATGTTAAGGATACAGTTCTTTTGTCTACAACACCTCTTTCTCAACCATGCTGGTAAACAAGTCTCTTTCTGGTCCCCAGCCTCTCAGACACACGATCCCATAGCCTGTGCTTGATTCCTTTAGCTGAGAAGCCTGCCTCATGGGCTCAGCATAACTGCTTTGCTTTGTCTCAAGGTCTTGGTGCTGTGGCCTCTGGTACCTCTGATCCACTTCAGTCAGAGAAATCTTTTGATGGTTACTGGATTCTCTCCCTTCCTGCTTCACTTCTATACCCAGAAGACTGACAAAACTGACGAAATCCCTTTATCTGTGTTTCACACACCCTATCTCATCATTTGGTAGGGCAAGATATGACAAAATAATAATTTATAAATTATCAAGGGCTCATGAGGGCGAGGGTGGGGGGAGGGAGGGGGAAATGAGTACCTAATGCCAGGGACTTAAGTGGAGAGGAAATGTTTTGAGAATGATGAGGGCAATGAATGTACAAATGCGCTTTGCACAATTGATGTATGTATGGATTGTGATAAGAGTTGTATGAGCCCCTAATAAAATATTAGAAAAAAAAAGAGTAATTTCATTTCGCCACAGGTCACCCTCTGGCTCTTCTAGCCATTGCCCTTGTATTGATGAGGAATTAACTCCCCCTGTTTCAGTTACATCTTCTACAATGAAAATGTTAACTATCATAATGAACTCTGCTAATCATCACTTAGCCTTGAATCATATAACCCTATCAACCTTAGCATTTTTCCCACTTTCTCTTCCCCAGGCCCATTAAACAAAGAGGAAACTATTTATTACAGTGGTTCTCAACCTGTGGGTCATGGCCCCTTTGGGCATCGAACGACTCTTTCACAGGGGTCACCAATTCATAACAGTAGCAAAATTACAGTTATGAAGTAGCAACAAAAATAATTTTATGGTTGGGGGATCACCACGACATGAGGAACTGTTTCAAAGGGTGGTGGCATGAGGGAGGGTGAGAACCCCTGCTTTATTGGAATCCTCCATCTCCTGCTTATTTTGAGGCCAAACGGCCCCATGAATGCTGCTTGGACCCCAGTCCCCGCATGCCTTTGTATGGGATGGCTGTATGTGTGTATCTCTCTCTCTGAACAGCACTAGAGAAAAGATGGCATGTGGACAATGGAAATGGGATTGTACGAGGAAACTCTTTAATGAATAAAGCAAAATGAAAACTATCAGTAATCTTGAAATTTCAAAACATACAAAAACAACAACCCAAAACACCCAATTTGAAATTCCTAGTAAAAAAACTTTGAATTATCAAAATCTATTCCGCCACGTATCAGCAGAGACAATGACTCTTCCTAGAAACTTTCCTGAGTCCTCTTAGATTGGATTCATTTCTACTCTTATATGGTCCCATTATAGTTTATATAGAACTCTGTTATGTCATTTCTTCACTATATACCAGCATACACATCTGTGATAGGCAGAATCTACTCTTCCCCCAAAAGATGCTCCCACTGTATTCTCCAAACCTGTGACTATGTTAGCTTACATAGCAAAACCCACTCATTGTCATTAAGTTGAGTCTGACTCATTGAGGCACTATGCAGGGTTTCTGAAGCCATAAAGCCTTTGGGAGCAGAAAGCCTCATTGCTGTCCTAAGAGTGGATGGTGGTCTTGAACTGCCAACCTAGCAGTTAGCAGTCTAACACATACTTCAACATTGTCACCAGGGCAAAAGAGACTTAGAAAATGTGACTGCAGGTAAGGATCTTGAGGTGGCACTGTGCTAGATAATCCGGTGGGGTCCAACCTAATAACATTATTTCTGTAAAGTAAAAGAGTAAACAACGGAATAATAGAGCAGAGAAAATGAGTCAGAGAAGTACCACGAGGAAAAAATAAGCTGTGGCTGGCTTTGGAGACAGAGGGAAAGGGCCACAAGTCAAAGAGATGGTGAACCCCAGAAGTTGAAAATGACCCCCAGTTTACAGTAAGCAAGATTCAAGAAGTACAAAACCCTAAATGCCGTCAACAGCTTGAATCAACAGGAAATAGATCCACTTCTACCACCTTCAGCAGTGAATGCAGCCACCTGGCCTCTAGATTTCCATTCAATTAGACATGCCCCAGACTTTGGACCCACAGAACGATGAAGTAGAACATTGGTGTTGCATTAGAAACACAAAATCAGGTAATGCCTATTCACATTGATTGAGAAATTATTTTCTCTTTGATTTGAAATTTTGTATGATCTACTCTATAGGTTGCACACCATGCCTTTGATAATTCCTGGAGTATATCCAGCTATAATATTAAGAAAAACATGTCCCTAACTGTTTTGACAGTTCAAGCTCTACCCTCATTCTCATTCTTGAATTGGGTGACAGAACAGGAGTGAAATAAGTATGGGCTCCTGTGAATGGTAAATCATGATCAGTTAGACTGTGACTACTTCCTATCAATCGACCAGATAAATTATGCAGCCCAAAGTTTGGCTAAATATTATACTATATTTGAAAATATGAAAATATTTGAGAAAACAAGTGATTTTTAAATGCATTATTATAAAATAAATAGCATAGATTCCTCTACAGAAAATGAATACTTTTATTTTTACCTTTTAGAAAAGATTGAAATTCTCTGCCTTTATCTTCACTGATTTTCCCTTCAAGGGAGGTGTATGTGCTCTGTACATCATTCACAGCCAAAGAAATATTGTCAATCTTCTTCTGCAGAAGAGTCAGCTTCATTGCCTGGTTGTTCATCTGTTCGGTCACTTTTTGCATCACTGCTGCATATAGAAAGAGAGAAAATTTGAATTATATTAAAAACATATTTTTAAACATTTAATTTTGTAGTAGCTTATATATCATGCTTGCACTGATATACTTAAAATATAGGCTATGGTCACTTAGCCCAAGAAACTTTTATGTTAAAACATTTAGGGATAGAAAAGTTTCCAATGTATTATAAATATTAGAATTCTAAAATGCTTCAACTTTGCCAAGCACTTTTATAGTCTTAAATATATAATACAAACAAAACAACACTTAAAATTAAAAGGTTTTTTAAAATATAACAATCCTTTGTAAAGAAGCTTTATGACCCAGACTAAATTATTGAATCAAATTCAGTTTTTGCTGAATTCAACTGGCCTCTTTACCCACCTGTGTGGAAGTTTTTAAAAGAGATGTAGCGCCAGGACTTTTTCTTCCCCTCCCTGAAGTCAGCAAACCCCTCCGTCTTTTCACAGGCACCTGCATTTGGCTCCTTACTTGCTAGAAACAAGGGGAACCCTTCTTTCTCATGGCCATCAGACTGTTTCTCATTCACAATGAGCCTATTGGATGTGGGAGAACTAGCCCTAGGGTTTCTGAGATTTTAAATCCTTACTGCAACAGGTGGCCTCATCTGTTTTGCCCAGGTGGTACCAGGGCTCCCAATCGATGAGAGAGCTTTACTGGATTGTCACACCAGGATGCATTCTAAGTAAGGGAATCTCCCCTCGGCTGTTTTCTTTTGCACAAAGTGGGCCTAAGAACTGCTTATATGACCAAGATGAAATCGTGTTGGAACCAGCCTTATCTAAAGTTTCCCTGACAATTTAAAGGCTTTTGTTTTATTTTGTTTTCACAACTTATTTCTAGGAAATGAGGCCCTGGTACCAAATGGTGATCCCCAAATTCAAATGGCTATCCTAAATTTTAAGTGTTTATTACAGAGTCTACATGTCTTTGAAAATTCAGAATTTTAACCATAAATCCCCAAGACATTGGTGGAAGCTGTTTGGCCTCAACCAGTGATGGTTTTATGGTCCTTCCTGATGGACAGGTGATGATGATTGACCATCTCTGTAAGGAGTCCCTGAAATCCATCACTGTCAACCTCTGTGCTCAAACTCCCAATAGAACCGGTACCCTTCCGGTAAGCCAGCCTCCTTTGACCATTTCTTTGTTCCCTGACACTATGTGCTTGTTAGAAGGCTTTTAGCTAGGGTCTCCAGTTCTCATGTATATGGACTGGTGTTTCTTTGTATTTGAGTGTACTTTTTCCTCATACTTTTTTTCTGAATAAATCCTCGTGGTCCCATTTAAGGGACTGAGAGGAATTTTTTTTTTTCTCTTTTCAGTTACAAAACTCTTATAAGGACGAAAAAACTAAGCACCAGAAACTTAGGTAATTTGCTTAAGGTTTCAAAAGTAAGGACTCATTTTCTTCTTCCATACTGATTGCTTCGGCATGAAACAAGCATAAACTTACGGATACTGCTGCATATACTCTATAATCTTTATTGAACAATTAGATAATGAGTGATATAAATTTAGCTTCATGTAGGATTGGTACTCCCTATCCCCTCAGATATGTAATTCAATATTCCGAGGACTGTTGGTGATTTTATAAAGATGGCAGAGATGATTGAAATTCTACTCAATGCCAATCTCTTCAAATGCACAGACAATCCCAAGAAGACAGTGTCCAAGCCATTGCCACTTGTATCCTTCAAATAATCCCCTTACAAATCAAGACAATTCAGTGTCTTATTTTTTATTACTAGAGCTATACCAAATAATAAAGTGTTGTGTTATTAGTAACTAACCTTGGTTTTTTTCCTAACCTTGTTTTTAAAGGATAAAATTGAGCTTAAAATAATAAAAAAATTAGATGATAAAACATGTGACACACAAAATTAGGATCAATGCAAATGTCTTCTGGGTTCTTAATTACAGCTCTTGACCCTAGTCAGGGTTCGATATCCCCTGGTGTTATAACAAATATAGGAAAAGGAGCTTTCTTAACATGATCAAGTCAATATTTTTAGCACGTCAAGAAAGCACTCTGTAGATAACAAAAGTTTTATTTTATTTTGGAAGCCTGTGATTTCTTTGCAACCTAGTATCACAGCATTTTAACTTTCATTCCATATGTGTACACTGAGCTTCAATAATTGTAAATGACGCTTTTTCATTCTGCAACCCTTTAAAGGATGTGAGAGTTATGTTAATGTGTTTGATAGTCAAGTGATTTCATGTTTGGAAGTTGTAATAAACAGTGTTGATGGTAATTGGGTGAGAGAAAATAGCAATTATACTCTATGACCTGGGTCAGCACAGTCCGGCTGCTGCTGCTGCTGTTGAGCGGTTGTCCTGTTGTCGACAGCTGTGTGACTCTCATCCTGGGGGCTGTGTATCAATGGCTGCTGTTCTGGAGCTAGACCAACGCAGAAAGAGAAGAGAGAGTGAGAGTTAACACCCAGATCGCCTTATTTTCCCAGTTCTGAGCAAGAACATAGCTGACATTCATTTTCCGGTGTACTGGAGCATGAGGGTCTCTGATGATTGCAGAGGAGGCTCTTCCACCCCTTTGTGGAAGCCAACGTGATACCACATTGGAGTGGGAAGTGCAGGAGTCTAATTTGCCTGGACAAATAAATGTATTTAGATCTCCTTTCAGCAAAAAATGAATAGTTTTCGGGGGGCTGTGTAAACTAGCCCATGTGAGCTGTCTGCATACTTAGAGAGACTTCACAGTCAGCGGTGTTAAGTGGTACAGCAGCGGTATAAGTGGACTACCACAAAGACTGCTTGTTTAGTAATGCACTTTTCCACGTTGTCTACTTGGTAATAAGCAAACATCTATAGATGCTTACTGAAAAAGATATCTGTTTATTTAACACCATTGTTTAAAGATATGTGGGCCCATATTAATGAAAGTCATGTGGGCTGTCAGACGGACACACACATATGTCTTGGCCGAAGTACAGCTAGAATACTCCTTAGAAGTGAGTATGGCAAGACTTTGTCTCAAGTCCTTTGGACATTTTGACGGGAGAGACAGTCCCTGGGAAAAGACACGATGCTTGATAAAGAATGAAAGGAGGAGGCTCATTGAGATGTGCTGACACAGTGGCTGCAACAATGGGCTCAGACAGTACAACAGGACAAAGGTTCATTCCCTTCTATACACAGTCATTGTGAGTCAGACTGACTTGACACCACCCTGTAATAGGGCTCAAACTGGCTACGGGGAAAAGTAAATTATAACAAGGCTTACTGAGGGACTCAAACTGTATTAGCAGTGATATTCAGGGGAAAAATAAAGGATTTATTACCAAATCATTTTACTCTGTTAAAGAATTGCTTTCAAATTGAAAAATATTTTTCAAAGCAATATAATTTTTTTGTCATAACAATAATTTAGCAGGAATATTTGTTGAAAATAGAGAATACCACAAGTAATTTATGCTCGCCATTTACAGACTTCTAATGAACAGATTTATCCATTGAAGTCTGCATATTAGACATAAGAAAGCAAGCGTTAGGTGTCTGGCGGCGCTTCTCCCCATGTGAAATGCTGTTCCCATGACACTGTCCTCTGGCACACATATGCTTCCCAAGGCATATGGGGCTGTGACAATGAAACCACAGTATTTCCACTCCATAGAAAGTGCACTATATTTGCCACTTGTCTGAGTTAGTCTCTATTGTCAGATTAAATTTTACATTGCTTCTCTTTGGGGAGCTGAGCTAAATTAGTTCATTGTCATCCATGTCTAAGGTCTTTGTTTTGAGTTTGTCTCTTTTCTTCTCCACTGTCTTTAGAATGGTCTGTGCAACTGGTGGTTTGTTAGGTGGAAGAAAACAACCTGCCGTTTCTGGAGATATCACTATTGGGGATAGGGAAAGCACAAATAATTCTAATCTTCTGCCAAGTGCCATGATAAAATTTTTAAGTGTAAATTCAAATTAGTTCATAGAAACACATCTGTTTCGTAATTGTGGAAATTTTCTATCAAGGTTCTTTCTTGGATTCTGTAACACAACTTTCTGGCAGCTTACGTCGATCCAACAGTGGTAAGTGGAGAGGAAAGCAATGGGTCTCCAGCTGAGATCCCTGAACCGGCAGTAGCAGCATCACCCAGCACTGCCGAGAACCCACTCCACAGCTACTCATCTCAGAGATGGCAGGATGAAGTGGGCACAACCCTCTTTTGCCATGCCCTCCAGTTATTCCCTAGGCTAAACGCACCGATAGCCGACAGAGAAGTGCTTTAGCCGAATGAATCAATGGGCCATTTTGTGTGTGTATCTTTTTAAGATTTAAATAAAATAAAAATAAAAGAACTAGTGCATTTAAAGATAGTGCCTTCACTTGTTGGTGCGATCTGATTCGTGTTAGAGTATTGTTTGCAAAGTTGGAAGTTCAAAACCATCAGCAGCTCTGCAGTCGGGAAATAGACTATCTCCTCCAGTTAAGCGTTTCAGCCTTGGGAATCCTCTTTAGAGTTCTTGTGAGATAAAATCGGCAAGATGGTAGTGAGCTGTTTTGGGAGGTTGCTGTATTTTTAAGTAGAGCATACGATCCGGTAGTTTCTGAGACTGTAACTCTTTATGGGAGTAGAAAGCCTCCTCTTTCTCCCATGGAGTGGCTGATGGTTGCCAACTGATCCACAGTTCAACACCATAACCCGCAATGCTACGAGGGCTCATTTTGTACTTTATCGGGAAGCAGTGTATATTACAGGAAGAACAAACGCTATTTGATTATTGTGTGGCCTAGAAACAAGGATATCATTCAAATTTCATTTTCTCCCATTAATTTATGACACATTATGGTTTTTCTGTTCTCTTCTTCTTTTTAAAAATTATTTAGAATAGTCAGTTTTCCTCAGGGATGAAAAAATCAGAAACCTCGGTCAAATTCGGAAGACTCATGTCCATGTCCTTTCCATATTTCTGTCTGAAGGTTCTGAGTCCACCCATCTCTTTGCAGGGATTGGACGTAGGTCTATGTATTAGCTACACAGACGGTTTTGATGCATGGCACTGGTTAAAAACACTAATTTAGAAGACATTACATTTTCTAATTCTATTAAGTAAATCTGTTGATATAAAGCAGAGCGTACCATTTTCCTATGAACATTATAATATGTAAACTAGTCTTCATAGATTTAAAAACTGTGTGTCCTGAAAGAAAGGGGTTTGTAATGGCATCGTTTATTTAAATGAGAGCAGACTCGAGTTTGCTGTCATTCCAGAGAGAAGTGGCCATGATAAAGTGTGGTGTGAAGTGGGAGAGGAGTGTAAGTGGCTTTTCACAGCTTTTCTGGTATTCTTTATAGATATGTCTTTTTCCCTATTGTTACACGCAAGAGCCCTAAAGAGGCAAGGTAAATTTGGAAGTACATAAAGAGTTTATTATGGTTATTATTGCTACCGTACTGCCCTTGCTGATAAAAGCCAAGGATTGTAGCCTACAATATGGATTTCAACTTGATGTAAAGAAAACTATAATTCTCACAATTGGAACAATAGGTAAGTAACATAATGACAAATGGAGAAAAGATTGATGATGTCAAGGATTTCATTTTGCATCGATCCATGGTCAGTGCTCATGGAAGCATCCTTCAAGAGATCAGAGGGCACATTGCATTGGGTAAATCTGCACACAAGATCTCTGTTGAGTACTGAAAAGCAAGACCCTGCCCATTGAGTCTTCTGGATCCAGGGGACAGTTTCGACACCAGAAGAGGGCCAAAGGAGTAGCACCAGCTGAACAAGGAGCCAGAGCATGAAAGAGAACAGGGGACTGACCACCCTATAGAGCAAATAAAATGGAGTGCTTTTATGCAGGAGGCTAGAATGTGCAGTGGTGTGCCTTTGGGTACTAAATTGGGTGAGCTGGGTTTGCCCAACCACAGAGCTGAAGCTTAGTGCTTTCAGGCTGAGGCTGATGGGTAAGTGGCATGTCCCTTGAGCATTTATTGACAGCCCTAAAAAACTGTAATTTTGCCCAGAGTGGGGCAGAGGCTCAGCCAAGAAGCTGAGGGAGGACAGGGAAAGGTCTGCCTGTGAAGATAGCTGAGAAACAGCCGTCACTACGTAACAACTGCATATTGAGCATTTTGTACCTGTTAACATGCCTAATAAACCCATCATTGTGAGTATCTTCTGTGAGTTCTGTGTGGCCCTTGCAATGGATGCTGTCTACCTGAAACATGGGGAGCAATACAAGTTGAGTGCGCTGAGGGGAAACAGAGGACCTTTATGGAACAAAATAGAAAATAGAAGAATGTAAAGCTATTGTTTCTCTTTAAGCGTTCTCTGAAGAAGTCCACCCTCTGTGATGTCTACCACATGAAAGCAGCTGTTTGGGCACCCTCAAGGAGCTCAGACTGGGTTCCTCTGAGATGTTCTTTGTGTTTTGGCAATCGAAGGAAATCTGAAGAGGCGCCCAGGGTTGTAGGGTGGAGGGGTAAAGCATCACAGCAACATTCCCTAGGACCACGCTTCCTACCCCAGACGAGTGAGTGGGTGCATTGTCATGACAGAAAAAGAACTCCTTGATGCTACTTTCCTGGCAGACATCATCCTAATCAGCCTTCGGTATGATCTCGTGTCCATAAAGAAAAATTGTCACTATTAAAAAAGAGTCCCAAGAGACAGTTGCTGTACCCCTGTGAGTTAATCTCTCTCCTGCCTTGAATTTAACTGTCCCAGGAGATTCTCTTAAAAGCAACTCTTTTGGCTGGACGTTTTCTGAGAGATACCATAGTGAAGCTAAGACAAATGGAATACTGAATTAATATGTCAGCAGCTTCCACCAATCACACATACAGATATAAAAACTCTTTGCTTGGATTAAAACCCTGAATGTAAGAATGAGACCCTAGTAGCAATATATTTTGATTTATCTCATATATTAGATGCAAACAATCTCCAAATATGTATAATTTAAAATGGGAATTACTAGATTGGGTTTTCAGCATAATGGCATAAATATGGTCTTAAAGTTTCTAGTACAAATAAAGAAATTTGCAATAATCAGGAGAGTATATAAATCATCCAGAAATACTAAATTCATTTTCACAAAATAAGTGTTTATAATAAAAAATTCCAACAAAAGAAAGCTTTTGATACAATGAAAACTATAAAGACAACATGAAAAATATTGAAGACCCCCAAAAAACAATCACATCAATGTGAACGAGGTGCTTGGAGTGGAGACCCAAAGCCCATCTGTAGATAATTGGACACCCCTCACAGAAGGGTCAGAAGGAAGGGACGAGCCAGCCGGGGTGCAGTATAGCACAGACAAAACACACAACATTCCTCTAGTTCTTTAATGCTTCCCCCAGCCCACTCTCATGATCCCAATTCTTTCTTAAAAATCTGGCTAGACCAGAGCATGTACACTGTACAGATAACAAC